ACAACAACAACAGCAAATCCGACCCGGAATATGCATTATTCGCTGCGTTTCCCACTGTGTTTCGGCTTTTGGGAGTCGTCGGGGGCCAAATGTATGCGCGTTGCATGTTGCTGGCCGGGCCGCCCGCGCGCTGCCGGGGCGCCCCAATGTGGCTCAGACAAAAATGACGGGAAAAAGAAAAAGACGAAAAAAGTACACACCTCGTTGTTAACACCAGGTATTTACCCGCAGGACTTGTCCACGCCTCGAGTGCGTGTGTGCTTGTGTGTGTGATTAGAACGGGGTATAATCGAGCTGGCTAGTTTCTTCATTACTCCGCGGGGGGTCCGGGCAGTAAAACAAAGACATAAACACCAGGCGGGCTTAATTGCGGTGTTGCAATAGGTAGACTTTGCAGTGCTTCGCTGTGACTTGGCGGCTTCGCGGGCGTCAAGGCGTCCTTGGCGTCTTTCTGTGTGATCCGGCAGTGCCACGGCAGTGCCACGGCAGTGCCACGGCACGGCACCTTGGGCTGCCCCTCTTAATCTCGCAGCGGATCGAGACTCATCCTCCTGCCCGGGCATGCCCCTGCCCCTGCCCATGCCCCTGCCCATGCCCATGCTCGCCTCCATTCACTAGACGGGCTCCGGTCCGGTTTGGATGGAGATTAGAAGCCTTCCTTTCTTCCTCCTTTTCTCCGGGCCGATTTCGCCCTTTTTGTCCGATCGTAAGTCAGCCTGGTAGGGCGTGGCGTGGCGTGGCGCGGTGTGGCGCGGCGTGGCGCGGCCCCGGGGCCGTGCACTGCGATGGTGGAAGGCGTGAACTGAGGCGGGGGTATCGCTGCTTGGCCAAACAAAGATAAGCAGCGCGTGAAGCTGCCCCAGGCGCCCCGCCCCACCCCACTCCTCCACCCCGCCACGCCCCACCACGCCCCGCGCAGGAACACCCAAATTTCTTGCGGTCTCGACGGGGACGCCGGCTGCGTTCGAAACCGCCGTCGCCGCCTCCCGCTCGTGGTTTGTCATCGAAAATGAATTTTTGCTGCCTCGGACGCGACCCCCTCGGGGCCCCACGGCCCCACGGCCGGCCCCCTATTACCCGCGTACCCTCCTCGGTATGATAATTACGGGCCGGAGGCGTGAGCCTGAAGGGCGTGAGCCAGGTAGAAACAAAAAGGTGTTGAATGGGGATAATGTGATAGATAGCCAGTCCGCCTTGTTTGGATAGGCCTCAGCCTCCTGGCGCCGCGACCAAGCCCTCGGCGCGCACCGCGGCCGTGGCGAAGTAGGGCAGGCACGCGAGCATCGACGGCGTCCTCCCGACGACGGCGTCCTCGACGCGTCCGGCGCCAAGCAATCCTTTTTCACGGTGTAGTCTCACCCTGCAGTCATTATATGGTTTTGTTTAGTTATATCGCCTCTGGATGTGTGTGTTGCTTCCTGGAAGAAATTATAGGTTTCAGCAAACTGCCCTCTCCGCGTGGAGGTGTGGGCCACCCGAGGGTGTGCGTGTGTGTGTGCGTGTGTGTGCGAGCGCGGTTTGGTGTCTCTATCATACAGAGTGGCGGCCGGTCCGTTTAGGAGGCGCACATGTGTCAAATAAACATAAATATCATCACGTGAACCGCTTTTGTTTTTCGTTCCCTCGTGGCCTTTTGCACCTGCCCGTCGCTGTCCGTCGGGCCGGCTCTAATTTATCGTGAATCAGGCGGGCCAGTCGGCCGGGCTGCGACCGCCGCCTCCGCCGCCTCCCACACCAATCTCATCCTGCTCGCATCGCCCTGCTCCCTCGGGAAGTGCTTAACCCTTTGACCCGGCGGCGCCGAGAGCGCTCCCGCGGGAGGCTACCCCGTCTGCGGGGGCGGCGCACCAAGCCTAGCGTCTCCTTCATGAGCCCCGACACCGTGGTCGAACAGCGTTTACAGTGATGCACTGCTGGAGGGCGAGGGGCCGCGCGCCGGCCGCCTAGGAGGTCCACGCCGTGCAGCAGGACCAGGGGGACGAGGAGGGGGCCGCGCCGCCGCGCCGCCGCGCCTGACCAAACACACCTTGGCGCAGGGAAGCTGGAGCGGAGAGTCGGAGAGAGATCAGCGAATGTTTATAATCCTTGTTTGTGCTTGTGCCGTGCCCTCCCACCCATGGCGTCCCCCCTCTCTCCTCCCTCTCTTGCGTCCTCCCGGCCGGCTCCTAATGGTTTTATGCAGCGAGCTTGGCCCCGGCTCATGACCGCCTTGACTGGCCGGCCCGAATAGCCGGGCCGCCCGGCTGCAAGCATGGCTGCCTACCGCCACGGCGGAACGGATTCCCTCTGTCTCTCTCGCACCTGTGCCGGACGGCCGGTGGGTGCGAGAGAGACAGAGCGACCACCTCAACGTGCGGATGTGGAATCAGTCGGAAGGGTGGAAGGGAAGGTCCAGGGCCGATACGGATGAGTTAGTTATGACCACTCTTTGGTGTTGGACTTTTCGACACTGGCCGCCGCTTCCTCGTAGAATCCGTGTGCGTGTCTGGGTGTCTCGCCCCGTGAAGATGTTAATTGATTCAGTGGTGTGTGTGTGTGTGTGTGTGTGCGCGCGCTCACAGCTGTGTGTGTAATATGGTCAGGCCGGACCCGTCACACGCACACACACACCGACACACGAGACCAGGGGGCGACGCGGCCGCCGCTGCGCAGTCACAAAGAAAGAATAAGAATGGTCAAATTATAAAATTACAATAAAATTAAAACGAATAAAGCCTAGGAGTAGGGGCGCCCTGGCCGCGCTCTCGCCAGCCAAGCGGAGCAGGCATGGCACTGGCGTGGCGGGGCGGCGGGCCGAGTGGCAGGTGTCGGGCAAGAGCTTCGTCGCCGCCACCGAACCTCCCGACCGAACGGGCTTAGCTGGCGCTCCAGTTACCTGGCTTCAGCTGGGCGCTGGCGACAGCGGCCCAGCGGCAACCAGCGGCCAGCCAGCAGCCAGCCAGCGGCCCTGCGGTGTAGAGTCCCGGTGAAACGCGAAAAGCGGCAGCGGGCCTCGACTTTTTGCAAGGTCTGCTTGTAGAGCTAACCAGCGGGCGCAGCCGCCTGTCTGTGTGAGAGTGTGTGAGAGCGGCGTCGCGTGTGGCGTCCCTCTGAAAGAGACGCCTCACCTTGCTCGCCACCGCGTCACCAACGACCCTTGTCTGTCTGTCCGTCCGCCTGCCCCTCGTACGATGATGAGGTGTCGTGACTCTGTGTGTCTGCCAGTGTGTGAGTGTGTCGGTGTGTGAGTGCAGTTGTGTGTCCAGTCCTAATAAGAACGGCGCTGTCCCCGCCGCGGCTGCCTGCCTGCTTTGGCGGCCTGAGAACCAACCTCGCCCCCTTCATTCACACGTCCTGGGCCCCAAAACGGCGCGGCACCTCAAAATTCGGCCTCTCTGCGGGGCAGTGTGCGGTGGCGGGGTTGTACGGGGCGCGGCGCCGGCGGGCAGCGGGCCTCGGTGGCGTCCCTCCGAGAGGCGCCAGCGCGCGAGGGGCTTCGTGTACTACATCGTCCACTGTGCGACGCGGTGCGACGCCATGCCGGCTATGCCCCCCCCCCGCTTCCTGGATGCGTCCGCGTCGTATCACGCCCGTTTTCGTCCCTTCCTTTTCGGCTGGGTGGGCAGCCCGTCTCTGTCGCACTCACATGACGGCCCATGGCGGCTGCCCCTTCCGGCCGGTTCGAATAAGCTGGCCGCATGCCAGCGCCGCCGGTTATGTTTTTCGCGCAAAACACGAGTGTGCTCTGCGGAGGAAGGCGGAAAGCGATTCCGAAGGGCTTTGGTTGAGCCTTGCGCCCCAAGGTAGCAGTTTTGCACTGCTTAACAGAGCAATTAACTCGAAGCAGCCTGGCGCGGCGCGGCGCTCCCCGACGTGCACTCACCTCAAGAAGGGCAGTTTATGTGCAACGAGAGCGCCGCGGTGCGCGGCGACAACTGTTTACCCTGTAATGTCTGGCAGCAGGCTGATTCCGAGGGCCGTTTTCGTCGCTCTGTCTCTCTCGCACTCACGGGGCGTCGTGTGCGGGTGCGAGAGAGACACGGCGACGAGAACGACTCTCGCGGAATCAGTGTGCCGGCTGGCGCTGGCTGGCGCGCCCTGCCGTGCCCGGGAGGCCACCGTAATCCCGGGTATTATCACCCAGGCCGCGCTTCGCCCGCCTCGCCCGCCTCGCCGTGCAGATTGTGTGCAGCGGGGCGAGCGGCTCGGCGACGACGGCGCCCTGGCTGCCGGCGCGGCGCGTCCCAGGGCCCGCCACGCCCGTTGCCGGACGGGGGTGTTGGGGCGCGGCAGTGACAACGACGGCCACGGTGTAGTATCTGGCGGCGTCCATCGTGTGGTGCCAGAAGTGGCTCCTAGCACGCGCGGCGTGTCCCTCTCTCTCGCACTCGCGGGGCGTGCCCGGCGTGCCGCAGGGGTGCGAGAGAGACAGAGCGGCCGCACTGCATTCCGCGGCCCTCTATCTCGCGCTGCTCCGCGGTGCTCCGCGCGTCAGACAATACTACACGTGTTCTCGCCGCGACACGCCCAGCTACGCCAAGCAAGCCGCCAAGCCGGCCGGGCGCTAGTCGCGCGCTCCGCCCTCCCCTTCTCCTCCCTGCAGTGCCTGGCAGTGCCCTGCGGAGGCCAATGTCGTGGGAAGGAAGCGCCGGCCGGCTGCTCGGCTCGGCACGGCCGCATCGCGTTTTCACACAGCGAAGCGTGCAAAGCGAGTGGTTGCCGCCGCCGCCGCCACGGCGCTGGCATCGCGAAGCGCGAAGCGTGCGGCCTGAAGCGCTGGTAGCGGCCTGCGAAGTGTGCCTACAAGACATCGATCAATTTCCCCGTGTGCGTCAGCTAGCGTCAGCGGGGCCTTTAGTCCCTGTGTGCTTTTACACTTTTCATCTCGTTACTAAAACCGGAGCCGTCCCCCCTCTCGGCGCCCCGGCGCGCAACGCGCCGCCTGGCGCCGGCGGAGCAAACCTTGTAGTAAAACGCCCTGGGCGCTGAATTTAATACATGTTCCTTTTCCGTTGTTGCAGGCAAATTTTCCCGCAAATGAAGTTCAGGCTGACCGGCCTGGATCCCAAGTCGAAATACATCCTGCTGCTGGACATCGTGGCCAAGGATGACTACCGCTACAAGTTCCACAACAGGTGAGTCTTGGAGTCGCTACTATTCGGCGTGCATTAATTCCCATTTTTTGGGCCGCGTTAGCGAAACTGATAGCATCGCATCGCGTTTCAATTTCATTCTAATTGCGGGTCGGCCGACTGGACAGTGGTGAGTGGAGCCCGGTCAATCGGCCGGAGGAAGCAATCCATCCCGGCATTCGACGGTGGCGCCCGCCGCCCCGCTGCGGCACGGCGCGGCACGGCGCGGCACGGCACGACAGCCAACTCACCGGTAGTTCTTTTCGTTTGTTTCTGCAGCCGGTGGCTGGTGGCGGGCAAGGCGGACCCGGAGATGCCCAAACGCATGTACATCCACCCGGACTCGCCGTGCTCCGGGGAGACCTGGATGCAGAAGCTCGTCAGCTTCCACAAGCTCAAGCTCACCAACAACATCTCCGATAAGCACGGATTTGTAAGTACCGGGGTTGTAAGTATCCAAATTCCATACCTCGCGGCGCGACCACTGTCGGGGAGGGCCGTAAAGTTATACGCCGGTCGGCATAACCCCTTCGGATCAATTCTAAAAAAAATTGTCAAAATATTTAAATAATTTTTGGCCTGGTAGTGTAAAACTACATCTAAAATACCTCAAAACTTTTACAAAAGGATCTGATCGATCAACTCATTCGCCGAGCAGAACTCAATGTAAATTTACCAAGTCCCTGACAGTGTACGCAATGCGAATAACCACTAAGCTAACTAAGGGAAAACTAAAAAACAAAACCAACAACAACAGCAACATGGCATGCCGGTGGTCCCGCAACTTATCCTCATCCAGAAGCGGCGCGAAAATGGTCTCGCCGCCTTAGTTGTAAGTCGCCCGTTCTCTCTCGCTCGCTCGCACCCTCGCCGCCGGCTTAGTGACGGAGACGCACTCCACTGGCGCCGCCAGGACGGCCGTGCCCTGCCCTGCCCCGCCAGGACGCCGGCGACACTGCCCTACCTGGCCGCCTTGTTGGCCAAGTCTCGGCGCCACACCGTAACTGTTGGCCTGCTGCGTCCGAAGCTGGCCGAGAGAGGCGGCAGGGCGGCCTACCTCCCCGGCGGCGCGCTGGCGGTCTGGACGAGGGCTTGCTCGAGGCTTGGATGTCTGCCTGCCCCCTGCCCGGCTCTTCCTCCTGGAAGGTGGCCGGCGTGGTCGGCGTGGCCGGCGTGGACGGCGTGGCCGGGAAGAAGCTCAGTGAACCGCGTCAAAACAAAACATAAGCGCCAAAAAAGGGGAAAGAAGTGGCTGAGCTTCCCGTCGACGCCGCAGGGGCCGCACGGCCGCAGGAATATGCGAGGGGACACTGTGCATTTCGTACACCAGAAACGTGATCATTGTGCAATTTGATCTCGCGCCGTCATCGGGAAAAATGAAAGCAAAGAAGAGGGGCAGGTGAGAGGCGAGAGGGCGGCGGGCGTGGGCGGGGGAGGGGGAAAATAATAAAAAGTGTCGATTGTTGGGAGCTACGCACGGCCACGGCCAGCCACGGCGCACGGCGGATTATTTTACCGCAGGGCAGGGCGGCAGGGCGGCAGGGCTGGGCGGGAACAGGTTATGTGGCGTCGATTTGTAAGACGCTGCACGGCGCTGCACGCTCCGGCGGCTCCTTATCCGAGGCTGCCCATCTGGAGCCGAGGCAGGCCGAGGCAGGCCGAGGCCCCCGACGACCGCGGCACCTTCCCGACGAAGATACCATCCCCGGGGCAGGGCCGCACGACCAAGTCAAGGGGAAAAACGTTTACAGCGCGCGCGGCGCCAGTATTCGAACCGGCGACTTTGCGCGCGAAAGGGCGTGTGGCGGTCGGGCCGGAGCACCTGCTGCTACATGTGTTGTGATCACGACATCCCCGCCCCGCCGCCACCTGTTTGAGGAGAGAAAGTTTACCATTTCCATAAATCTCTTGACGCCTGATAAGAGATGCGAGGCGTCATGTCGGGGCGCCGTGTATGCGTGTGCGGCACAGGTGTGCTGTATGAGCCCCGCTGCATCCCACCGTGCCGCACCACCCCACCCCGCCCCGCCGCGCCGCGCCACGCTCCAGAATTTCGCGGCGTTTCTGCTGCCATTCCTCCAGCATTCTCCAGCGACAGCTATGAGAGCAGGGTGTCGCCACGCCTCGCCGTCGGGGGGCGGCTGGGGGCGGTACGGCGCGGGGCGGAGGGGCCGCCCCTAAGCCCGCCGCCCGCATTCGACGACGCCCCAGTCGCCCCATGCCGTGCTTCGAGGTGGGCGTCCTCGGCGTCCTCGTGGCCCCGGGACGGCCCCCTGCACCCCGCCCGGCCCCCCGGCCCCGCCACGAGATATGACGGACGTATACGATGTCTGGGAGATAGAGGGGGGAGGGGCCTTACGCGCCGCGCCGTGCCGCGCACACCAGCACAGCGCGCACCGAGAGAGAGCGCGACTGAACAAACAGGGAGAGGAACGGAGAGCAGAAAGTCTTGTTGTCAGCTCGTAATAATTGTTATTTAAGGAGGATCCCGGCGTGGCGCCTGCCTGCCCACAGCGCCTGCCCTGCCCAGCCCAGCCAAGCCGTCCGGCGGGGCGGGGCGGGGCGGCGCCCTGGGGAGCGCTGGCGCGGTGCTGGCGCGGTGCTGGCGCCCCTGGCCCTTGGAGCCTCGACCTCGGTCGTCTTCGGGCCGCAGCCCAGGCCTCGGTGTTGCACCTTATGAAACGAAAACCAAATTGAAAACTTATCAGCAGGGCCCCGGCCGTCCCCGGCCGTCCCCGGCGGGTCGGAGGGTCGACCCATTGGCGTGTGGAATGGAATGCAGCTAGCCCTGCTCTCATTAGCAGCGGCGCGCCGGCCGGGCAGTGGCGTAGCCGTGGCGTGGCGAGGGGTCACGAACCCCGGCCGCGAAACCCGATCAAGTTATGGCGGCCACACCTCCGGCGAGCGGGTCTCTGGCGCCGCTGCCACCCGCGGGGCGCTCGACGGGGTGGTCGGGGCCGAGGCGACCGCGCGATGACGTGAAGGTTCGGCCGTTCGGCCTAAGGTTCGGCCCTGGGCGAGGCGGGGCACGGCCGCCACGTGTGTCTATGTGTGGCGCCGACGGCAGGCTGGCGGGTAGGCACGCAGCGCACGCCGCGCACGCCGCGCACGCACAGTGGCGACGACACTCTAATGACCTCGTCAAACTTTTCTGTCCGAAGCAGAAGAAGCAGACGAGAGAGGTAATTGCTCATTTTGTGTGGCGTTGGGCGGCCGGGCAAGCGGGCAGGGCTCGGGGCAGTGCTGGCGCCACTCGGGTTGTCTCTCGGAGTATTGCCCGTCGCAGCGCCAGCACCGCACCAGCACCGCACCAGCACCGCACCAGCACCGCGCGAGCGGTTGACCCGCAGGTGCGTCGACCGCACCGCCACTGCGGCCCCGCCCCGCCCCGCCCTGTTACTGCCCGCCAGCTCGGCGTGGCGCGCGCTCGCGCTTGTGGGAACGAGAAGGCACACTATGAAAAGGCGTGTATGAAACGGAGGCAAAAACGAGCAAGCGATGCAGTTCGCAACCATGTTGCATCGTCCCTCATCGTCTTCTTTCTCTCTTGCTGTCAGTTTACGCGCGGCCATTTCTCATCCCTGGCGCCGCCGCGGCCGCCGTCTGCCTGGGGGCCGTGGCCGGCCGTGGCGCACGGGGCGTACTTCGGGGGGCTCATGGCGGCGGCGGCGACGCGACACCAGGAATGTGGGCTGCCCTATCGGCGACCCGCTGCCTCAATTTCACACCTCCCCGACAAAGGGACCAGGGCGCCCGGCCTGCTTTGAATAAAATGATTCCCGTGTAACGCTTCACGCCTTTGTTCCTGTGGCCCAGGCTGGCCTAAGGCCCGGGCTGGACCGGGGCTTGGTCTTTACGACCTGCTGCAGGGCCTCCTGGACCGAGTCCTGGACCGTCCCCGGCGTCGCTAGGCCGCGCGGCGTGGACGGATCATCTCCTCCTCCTTGTTGACGAGGCGCGGCGAGGCGGCTTTGTGCGGGAGGTTCAAATCGGGTGACAATCTGGGCGTGATCCGTGCCGCGGGTTCAAATACTGTACCGCTTCTTGTTTTTTTTCGTGTCCTCTCCTGGACCGGGACGAGGTGTGACTGTGCGAGTAGGCGATGACGTGCCCGTGCTTTGCCGCGCCCGGGAAACAAGCTTCTGAATCTAAATGACAAAGAATAAAGAAAAGGACCCCGCTGCCTGGGACTCTGGGACACCCGTCGGGACCCAACGTCTCTCTCTTTTTATTTCGTTTACTTTTTTGTCTCGTCCGCTTCTTCTCGCGCTCATCCTCAGCGGGTTATTCGGTGTTATACGGCGCCCCGCGGGGGTCCCAAGAAATGACCAATCCCACACGGATGGTCCTCTGCTGCGCGATGCTGCGGTCGACCCCGGCGTGCCCCGACGACCCTCCCGACCCGATCCGCCGTACCGCGCGTCTTGTATGACCAAGCACCCCACACATGGCAAAAACAGAGGGCAGGGGAGGCATCGGCACCACTCTAACCAGTCTTCCTCGCTTGTGTTACAGACGATCCTCAACTCGATGCACAAGTACCAGCCGAGGTTCCACCTGGTGCGGGGCAGCGACGTGAGCGCGCTCGCCTACAAGCTGTTCAGGACGTACGTGTTCGAGGAGACGGCCTTCGTGGCGGTCACGGCGTACCAGAACGAGAAGATCACCCAGCTCAAGATCGACAACAACCCGTTCGCCAAGGGCTTCCGGGATACAGGCGCCGGCAAGAGAGAGAAGAAGTAAGTAATAAATTCGCGATGCCCGAATTCACTAATGAAATCACTCATTTTTCTTGTGTAAAGATGGTCCGGCACCCTCTACAATAACCTCTCTCCCTCTCCTTCGAGTAGGCAGGCGATGCTGGCGGCGCAGAGGCAGACGTCCTCCTCAGACGACCACAAGTCGTCGTCGACGCCGTCCCGGCCAGAGTCATCGGCGTCCTCGCACCCCGGCAGCGGCGCCGCGCCGTACACGCCGTCGACGGGGTCCACGTCGTCGAGGCCCGGCGCCCTCGGCGCCAGCCCCCCGGCGCGGCACCACGAGTCCAGGTCGGGCCAGGACGACGACGAGAAGATGAACGTGGACGTGGTGGGCTGCGGCGCGCCCGACAACCTCCTGGGGTACTCGTTCGCCCACAGGCCGTTCCCCGGGCATCCCCACTCAGGTGAGAATTGATTGTCTGGCTCGGCTGAGGGCTGATGTATTCACGCCCTGACAACGACCGTTTAACGCCGTGTTATATGACGGATGGACGACCTAACCCTCCCCGTTGTTTACAGAGTCCGTCGTGGAGGAGGCCATGCGCGTCCGGATCGACCAGATCGCCCTCGCGCAGAAGCACCACATGTACGACAGCAAGCACGGCGAGGACGGCGACAGCGACCGCGACGGCAGCGAGTCGTCGGCCGAGTCGCACTGCGAGAGCGAGCCGGGCGAGCGCGCCACGGCGTTCCAGCCCATTGCCCGGTCGCCGGACAAGCCCGGCGGCGAGGCGGGCGGCCTGGCGGGGCTGGACGCCAGCAACCCGACGCCCCGCATGTCGATGGGGCCTCCGATCCAGCCGCCCCCGCACCTCTTCCCCTACCTGTACCCGCCCGGCCTGTACCAGGGCGCGGCCGCCGCCTTCCAGACGCCGTCGCCGCTGTCCCTGTTCCAGGGCGCGGGCGCGGGCCTCGGTGCCTCCGGCATGAACCCCGGGCTGCTGTTCAACGCGCAGCTCGCCATGGCGGCGCAGCACTTCGGCCACTACCCCCACCTCGGCCAGCCTGGAGGTAAGTGGCGAGGCGGCCAGTGCACTGTTTTTCAATCACCGAGCCCGGCGCTAACGAGCCCTTCTTTGTGTGCAGGAGCGCTCCAGCACCAGCTCAAGGCGGCCGCCGCGCTGGCCAGCGGCAACCACCGGTTCTCGCCGTACCAGCTCCCCGTGCCGCCGCCCGTCACTAGTCCGTCGGGCAGCGCCCCGGGCTCCTTCCACGGCGGCGTCTCCGTCGGCGCCGAGTCCCCCACCGGCTCCGCGTTCGAGACCGTCACCCCCGGCTCGCACAACAGCAGCCTGAGTGCGTGCGGGTCGCCGCCAAGCAGGTCGCCGCCGCAGGTGTCGCCGTCGCTGCCCCCCAAGAGGCCCGCGTCGCGCGACCTCCCCGCACCGCCCCCCACCAGCAGGAGTAAGCAGTCACCACCCCCGCCGGCGGCCGGCGCCTCACCACCCCTTCCCCTCCAGGTGTCGTCGCCCAGCTCGACGTCGGCGACGTCCGCCTCGGTGGAGCTCAAGAGCATCGAGAAGATGCTGAACGGGCTCCAGCAGCAGCAACAGGAGTCGAGCAAGAGGAACGGGGAGCTCGCCGGCAACGCGGGCAGCCCCTTCGCGACCTAGTCCCGTGTAAATGTTATGTCAATGTATAATGTGTAAAAATATTAAGTTTTTCTCATAATAAGACACACACATCAAGCACAAAAAAATGTTGTAGCTTATGTAATTTATGATATTATTTATGAATCTCATGTAAATATTCTCTTGTCCGAGTCTACCTAATTATTATTGTCCTTATCGGAGAAAAGCGTGTCTTTTCCCTTATGTTAGGGGAAAAGCCTCGCTGTTTTTTCTTTACTTGTAAAGATTTGTCTGTTTGATCTTATTTGTTCAAGTAGAGTTTTCCAGTTACAAAAGTAAACTGTATTGAAACGATATAGTCCTTTTACCTCTCAACTTATTCTTCTTTCTGACTAAGTCGCGTAGCTGCATAGTAATTAGAAACTAAAAGCTCTCTCTGTATGGTTGCGTCGCATAGAGCTCAACAGGATCTATATCGCTCAATCGTTAGAGAAGTGACTTTCCCACCTGGCCTGAGTACAAAGTCTCAGAGACGGAGAGAGAAGGCCTCCCTGTGAAGTGAGTGACTTTGAGGTAGAAGATGATGTCAAGAGAGTTTTACTTGGACTCCTCCACTGGAGCCGGCTCGCCGCGGCCCTCTGCGGCGCCTAGGTGTCGTCCACACATTACGTAACGCCATTTTGTGTCTTTGTCGCTACTCATGGACTGTCAGTGACTGCGACAGAGACAGATAGCGTTACGTAATTCGTAGACGACCCCTAACAGCACTGCCTGTGATTCTCTTGCCGCCGCGGCCTGCTCCAGCATGTGGATGCTACTGTTACCTTTTTGCGGCTGTCCTTCAAGGAGGGCGCCTCCTTGTAGAAGGAAAAAAAAGACCTCAAAAAGACTAAGAAGTGAATTTCAAGTTTTGAAAAAGAAAAAAAAGAACGCCCCTTTGGTCTTAGTACCTGGGGAAATGAATTTTTATCGCTGTTAATGTACGCACTAAACTGCTTTCTGTATTTTACATTACCTGTGGCGACGTGTGTGTGTTTGTGTGTGGATTGAGATGTTGCATCAATATTTCGTCCCTCATATTGTTGAAGTTCGAGGCTCCATAAGAGTGCGCTGCCCTCAATATGCCCTAATTTATTGATTGTCAGAACGTTTTATGGTTTCAATGTACCGCACCTGACTGCTTGACATTTGTATAAGATGCGCGCCTTTCTCAGGACTTAGTGATAGGCCTCTGACGGTATTTGGAACTTACATTCATTATCTCATGGCCGTGCTGTATTTGTAATAATTTTAATTGTAACTCCTGAGACAGTTAGTGTTTCAATTTCAACTGAGAAACTTGTCATTTTCTTGCTAGAGTGGCTCAAAGAGAACGCGTTATTACTTGTATCTTATAAGAAAAAAGCAACCTATTTTTTTTCTTTTTGAAAGCTTTATTGTCTGATGCTCCTTGGTCTTTTTTGGGTGTTTTTGTTCCCAATTTCCTTCAGTTGTTTTGTTTGTTTCATTTCAAATTCTAAGCAATAATGGTTTTGAGAGAGTAAGGAGACAATATATATTTGAAAGTATATATTATATAAAGAGATGGACGTTGCGCCTCCGTGTCTGGTTGCTGCTGAAACATCCGTGTCTCATCTGTCGTGAATGTAGATGATTTGTGCAATATGTCTGTGATAGTAGAGTTCCCATGTTAGTAAAATAGAACATTCATATCAAAACACTGATTAAACCAATTCTAAACAGTGATTGTCGACCATGCATTTCATTAATTCAACTTCCCTTTACGCACCCTTCAAACACCAAACTGATGAATATCTATGACGAGTATCATCTCGTTTTCATGTATGAAAACAACTGAGCAGTTGCTCCAGCTTGAAAAGAAAGAAGGGATAAAAGTGCAGAAAAGATCGCAGTACTGTATGTGCGACCAGAAGTAAAATCGAAGAACTGGGGCTGAGAGGACAGGAAGAAGAGGAGACAGGCTCGAAGAGAAGCCCTCGTGAACGCTTGAGGGGAAGGGGGAAGGGGGGGGGGGAAGAGGGGGAGGATGTGGACGGGAGAGAGGTGAGGAAGAGAAAGGGAGAGGCCAGCCTTGGCGGGGAGGGGGAAGGGAGAGGGGGAGCAACAGTGGCGCCAGTGACGCGGCTTTTCTCCGCTGGAGCGCAGCACTGTGCACGAACCGACAAGCCGAGCGGGCCCCCTATGGGCCGCCTGGGCCGCCGCAGTCGCGGCACCTCGCCGCGCGGCAGACGAAACCCGGCAAAGCCGTTTTACACAGTATAGAATTCGCGAAAGAGTTTCAAGACGGCACGGACTTCTGGCTTATTCTGATGCACGCACCACAAGCTACGTGCCATATAGTTGAAAAAAATCCGGAAAAATTTTATTGCAAAAAACAAATTGAGCCAGAAGGTTTTTTTGAAAACTGGAAGCTGCAAATGTGAATAGGATGGTGTTGTACCCGTCAAAATAACTTTCCCTTCAACAAAGCGGGATTTTCAGCCCACGCCGGGAAGGTAGGCAACTCATCCACCACCCATCTATGTGGTTTCTTGGCAAACTTGGCGACCCGCGGGAAAGACGCATTAATGCATTGCTGCGCGCAGCGCGCGGGGTTCTCTTTCGAGAAGCTCTTAAAGATCCCTTTGCAGCACAGGAGCCGATGCTTGCTTTACTCTAACTTTGTCTGTTGACAAATCACAGGTCGGCTTGGCGGAGGTCAACGTCGGGGCGGTGCAGTACGGTGTCAATAAGCCACCGCGTGTGTTACCAAAGGGAGTGCTGGGCACACACACACACACACACACACACACGCACACTCACAGGCACAGACACACTCAGACGCAGGAGGTGCGCACTCACACGGTGATTCGGGAGTTGTTCATTTCTCCTACCTAAATGTTCGCCTACCTGTCTATTTCGCCTACCTATATTTCGCCTACCTAATAAAAATATTGAATAAAAATATTCAATAAAATATTGCCATTTTTCGCCTACCTATAGTTCGCCTACCTAATAAAAAAATTAAATAAAAATATTCAACAAAAAAACGAAAAAATCGGCGGCAAAAAGTGGCAATACGAAAGTCTCAAGGAGACCCGCCGATCAGCTTCGGTGTTCTTATGGGAACCGGGCCTTCATCCGACGCTCCCTGCCGCGCAATTCGACAGATTAGTGGGTTCGTATTAGGCTGGCCCACCCGAAGTGCGCGCGGTTTCTGTGGTACAGTGAGAGTCCAGATTCAGAGGCCTTACCTCAGAGGGGTCACATTGGGTATTTGAACCCGCGACCCCGAGTGCCGAGTCTAGTCAACTCCTCTACCCTGACCGCTCAGCCACCGAACCAGCTTGTCGGCGGCGATGTCGCAACTCCTCTTGAGCTGCCGTTCGAGAAATCTGGTCCCGAAAAAATGTTACTTTGAGCGGTCTCGAACCCGGGACCTGCTGCTTCCCACATCATGCTCTTAACCACTGAGCCACCGGGACGCCATGGCACCCGCCTTGCCTGCGCTGGTACTCAATCTTCTCTGGATATACCTCCCCAAGCAATTGGTCGCCTAAAAAATTGTGTATACTACCGGTCCCGAACTCGGGACCTGCCACTTCCCACAAACGTGCTCGTAACCGCTGAGCCACCGAGACGCCATGGCACCCGCCCTGCCTGCGCTGGTACTCAATCTTCTCTGGATATACCTCCCCAAGCAATTGGTCGCCGAAAAAATTGTGTATACTACCGGTCCCGAACCCGGGACCTGCCGCTTCCCACATCAAGCTCTTAACCGCTGAGCCACCGGGACGCCATGGCACCCGCCTTGCCAGCGCTGGTACTTATTCCTCTCTGGATAGACCTCGTCAAGAAGTCGGTTGCCTCTGCCGAAAAATATGCTCATGGCACTAGCCTCGAACCCGAGACCTGCCAGTCAGGAACGCAGCACTCTAACCACGGCGCTACCACGTTGCTATGCACGCTACTAACCTAGCGCCAAACTTCAATAGCCACCCATCTTGCTTGATGCTGGACAAATAATAACTTCGGCGATGGGGTGAGCGCTGTGCGTAGCAACCAAGTAGCGCAGTGGTTAGAGTGCTGCGTTCCTGACTGGCAGGTCTCGGGTTCGGGACTAGTACCATAACCATATTTTTCGGCAGAGGCAACCGACTTCTGGACGAGGTTTATTCGGAGAGGATTGAGTACCAGCGCTGGCAAAGCGGGTGCCATGGCGTCCCGGTGGCTCAGCGGTTAAGAGCATGATGTGGGAAGCGGCAGGTCCCGGGTTCGGGACCGGTAGTATACACAATTTTTTCGGCCACCAATTGCTTGGGGAGGTATATCCAGCGAAGATTGAGTACCAGCGCAGGCAAGGCGGGTGCCATGGCGTCCCGGTGGCTCAGTGGTTAAGAGCATGATGTGGGAAGCAGCAGGTCCCGGGTTCGAGACCGCTCAAAGTAACATTTTTTCGGGACCAGATTTCTCGAACGGCAGCTCAAGAGGAGTTGCGACATCGCCGCCGACAAGCTGGTTCGGTGGCTGAGCGGTCAGGGTAGAGGAGTTGACTAGACTCGGCACTCGGGGTCGCGGGTTCAAATACCCAATGTGACCCCTCTGAGGTAAGGCCTCTGAATCTGGACTCTCACTGTACCACAGAAACCGCGCGCACTTCGGGTGGGCCAGCCTAATACGAACCCACTAATCTGTCGAATTGCGCGGCAGGGAGCGTCGGATGAAGGCCCGGTTCCCATAAGAACACCGAAGCTGATCGGCGGGTCTCCTTGAGACTTTCGTATTGCCACTTTTTGCCGCCGATTTTTTCGTTTTTTTGTTGAATATTTTTATTTAATTTTTTTATTAGGTAGGCGAACTATAGGTAGGCGAAAAAATGGCAATATTTTATTGAATATTTTTATTCAATATTTTTATTAGGTAGGCGAAATATAGGTAGGCGAAATAGACAGGTAGGCGAACATTTAGGTAGGAGAAATGATATAGACTCGGTGATTCTTTCTAAAATTTAATCGGAATTTTCTGGACGTTGAGCTCACTCTCCGACCGCACATCACGATGGTCTCTGCATGGCGGCGAAGGGGTTGTCGTGATATCTCGCGCATCTCCACTGCTGAGGCTTTGCCGGGCAGTGGAAGTAGTTATTGGCTCCGGAACAGAGATCTCGTCAAAGGCCACATGTCAATGCGCTACTCTGCCAACAAAGACGATACAGGAATTAGTTGGAAGCGCCGGGGGTTGGTGGGTCAATCGCCATCCGGGCCAGCGCCGCGCCGGGGCCCCGGAGCCCCTGGAGACCGGACGTTAAAAGCAACGGGCCACTTAACGGTATTGTTTCCGAGGGCCCCGGCAGCCCCGGCAGCCCCGGCCGGACCGAAGCGACGCTGAAGCGGCGCCGTCGCCGTTGTCCAGGCACGCCGGGGGGAGACCAGGGAAGACCGGGGAGGACGGCACCACCGCCGCCGTTTTGCAAACGACGCGATTCCGCATCTCGGCCAAAACGTCGCGCGGTCCCACAGTGGCCCGTCCCGCAGTGTCTCAGTCCTCCACCGCGGGCCGCGGCGTTCGGAGGGCCACTCCGCCGCCGCACCGTGCCTCTGGCTCTGGCCCTGGTCTTGTCCGCCTTTTGGCCACCACGACGCGACGCGCGGTGCACCTCGACACAACCCCGCAACTGCCGCCGTGGCCGCGCCACGCAGCTTTCTGGCCCGGCCAGCAGACCGATTCCGAGAGCCGTTTTCGTCGCTCTGTCTCTCTCCCACCTATACGGGATGCCCTGTGAGTGCGAGAGAGACAGAGCGACGACCCTCGGAATCGGACTGCAGCTTGACATGCGTGTCACGGACGTCGCGGTCGGCGTCCTCCGCAGTCACCCTGCCGGGGCCGCCACCCTCCGAACGCAGCGCTGCGAAACTCCCTCCCCCCTTTCTGAATAGCCCTAACTGGCGCGCGCGGTTTGAACGCCACGCACACGTCGCCTCCTGTGACATACGACTACTTTGCGCTCAATTTGAGCCGCGCGCACGGAATATGTCTTTCCTTCTTTCGTGTTTTTCTTCTTTCTCGATGCAGTTTTTTCTACGCCACCTCCCCTTTCACTCCTTCCCCGCGCCGCAGAGGTCTCCTTCCGATGTCTTCTCTCTCTTTCTGCCCCGCTGGCCGGCAAGACCGGCAGGCCACGAGGGTCATTTGTGTCCGCTCGGCGCAGAAGGCGAGGGAATGCCGTTCACCCGCCAGCGCCCCCCCCCCCCCCCCCCTCGCGGACCACAAGTAGCCCGTTACCTTCACGTGCAGACGGGGAATGATTGAATGGACGCGGGTGAAGTCCGTCACCGAAAGCGGAACCGCACGCTGCCGCGGTCACCGAGTGCAAAAACTGCGAAAACGGACATGTATTCAGGAAAGGGGCAAGGACTGGACAAAGGGAGTGTGTGTGCGAGCGGACCGGAGCGACCCGCGCACTGCCGGCGGTCCCAGGGCTGCGCCGCTGCGCCGCCAGTCCCGCGATGCAGTCGTTCGATTATAGTCTCGATAGTCTCGATAGTCGCCCGCTGGTCAAGCCGTGTTAGACTTGTCCGCTTTTATTGGCGGCTGCTGGGCGAATTGTCTCTCTCGCACCCCTGCGGCCCGCGCGACACACCGTGAGAGAGACGGAGCGACGGGACCACTGTTCGGAATCAGCCTGCTGATGGATATCATTGCAGCCACCCCCGGTCCCTCCGACCGGCCGGCCGGCCGGCCTCCTTGGCCA